AATTTATGCTGATGCATGCACAACAATAGCTGATAAAGTTTCATATGCCAGAATACTAGTGGAGATGGATGTTACGAGAACACTCCCAGAGATGATCAAAGTACATGACCCAAAAGGGAAGGTATTAGAACAGCGAGTACAATATGATTGGAGACCTAAGTATTGTCAAACATGCTGTCAATTGGGGCATAACTGTAAGGAACCAAAGGTAATGAGGAATAACATTATGGGGACAAAGGCAGAAGTGAAGCAGAGGCAAGAATGGAGAAAAGTGAAAGTCCTGGATCCAAAAGTAGATAAAATTGATGCTCAAGGAAGGTTCATTGAACAAATTGAGGAGATAGAGCAGGAACACGTGAACAAAGAAGTGGATGAAGTACAATGGCAAACTGTCGAGGGAAGATCAGCAATAAAGAAACATACAGAAGCAATAAGAGGGGAACAAGTTGACATTGGCAATGCATTTAAAGCCCTGGTGGATACTGCACAGAAGATTGTCCAGATATCTGAGGCTCAAGAAGATAGGGCCAGATCAAAGGGTGCAGAATGGGGAGGTGAGATAATTCAATTGTTATTGAAATGATGAATTTTGTAGCCTGGAATGTTAGGGGACTGAATAAGTTGTACAAACAAAAGGAGTTAAATTTTTTTTGCAAAATTAATAAGGTGGTATGGATAGCTATTATTGAACACAGAGTAAAAGAAGGGAAGGCTGAATCAGTTAAACAAAAGATTTTAAAAAACTGGAGATGGGTAGATAATTATGAGGAGGCCCCGGGGGGAAGGATATGGATAGCATGGGATTCTCAGCAAGTATATTTCAAGATGGAGAAGCAGAATGACCAATTCATATTAGGGAATGTGACAATGATACAGCAGAAGGTTCACATCCATATTTGTGCAGTATATGGGAGAAATACAGTGCTAGAAAGGAAGAGATTATGGGAAAAGCTGAAAGAAGAAATAATACAAATCAAGCAGCCATGCTTGGTTATGGGGGATTTTAATACAATATTAAGGGGTGATGAAAGATATAATGGGTGCCCAGTACAAGAGATGGAGACAAAAGATTTTAAACAGTTTATGACAGATACTAAATTGGTAGAAGTAAAGACAGTGGGGAGACAGTATACTTCGACAAATAATCATGTCCATAGCAGGATAGACAGAGTATTAGCCAATGCTGAGTGGATACAAAGATGGCCAAATATGGAAGGGGTAGTTATGAATCCAAGCTTTTCAGATCATTGCCCACTAAGTATAGTACTTGGTAGTAATAACCTAGATGGAGGGAGACCATTTAGGTTCATCAATTGCCTAGCAAATTTGGTAGAATTTAACCAAGTAGTAAAGAATTGATGGAAGGGTAGATGCCAAGAGAAACAAATGAATGGAGTGTGGTACAAGCTGAAGAGATTGAAGCCTAGTCTGAAACAACTAAACAAAGATGAATATGATAGTGTGGGCGGAAAAATACAGGAGGCAAGAGAGAAATTGGGAATAATACAGCAATGTATGCAAAGTCCTGATATGAATGAAATTCATAAAGAGATGGAAAAGCAGACAATATTGGAGTTAGAGAAATGGTTACTAGTGGAGGAGAGTATATTGAAACAGAAATCAAGGGTACAATGGCTAAATTTGGGTGACTCTAATACTGCTTACTATCATGCTTCCTTGAAGCAAAGACAGTCAAGAAATAACATTGGCAGACTTGTTGATAGCAGAGGAGATGTAATACAGAATCCAAAGAAGGTGGAAGAAGAGATTTTACTGTTCTATAGGGGATTGCTTGGAAGCTCAACAAAACAGCTACCAATGATAAACTATGAGACAATGCAAAATGGGAAGGTCCTAAATAGAAGGCAGCAACTCCAGCTAATTAGTCAAGTTAGCAGGACATAAGTAAAGAAGGCTCTATGGGGAATTGATGACAACAAGGCACCAGGTTGTGATGGATACAATGCATTCTTTTTCAGAAGAACTTGGGATATTATAGGGGAGGAAATAACAGATGAAGTGTTAGAATTTTTTTTATAGTGGTGACATGTGTAAAGCAATTAATTGCACAACAATCACACTCATACCAAAAGTCCAGAATCCAACAAATATAAGAGAGTATAGACCTATCTCTTGCTGCACAGTTTTGTATAAGATCATTTCCAAGATTATTACTATTAGAATGCAGGAAGTAATGGACTACTTGGTGGACAATTGCCAAGCAGCATTTGTGCCTGGGAGACTAATAACAGATAACATCCTAATGAGTCATGAGCTAGTGAAAGGATATGGTAGGAAGAATGTTTCCCCAAGATGCATGCTCAAAATTGATATGCAGAAGGCATATGATTCTGTGGAGTGGAAATATATAGAGCAAGTACTGAGGGTACTGAATTTCCCTGAGAAATTTGTAAAATGGATTATGGTATGTCTCAAGACAGTGACATATTCTGTACTTATAAATGGGAGGCCAACTGAAACATTTGAGGCCAAGAAGGGACTTAGACAGAGGGACCCAATGTCACCATTCCTCTTTGTCTTAGCTATGGAGTATCTCAGTAGATCATTGAAGAGCTTGAAGGAGGATAAGAGGTTCAAATATCACCCTAGATGTGCAAGGTTTAACCTTGTACAACTGGGGTTTGCAGATGACTTGCTTCTGTTTTGCAGGGGTGATATGCAGTCAGTACAAGCATTGCACGAGCAGTTCCAACAAATCTCAGCAGCTTCTGGGCTAATAGCAAATCAGAACAAAAGCTGTATTTACTTTGGAGGGGTGAGTGAAGGAATGCAACAACAAATACTAAAGGCAGTTGGATACAAGATGGGTGAATTACCATTTAGATATCTTGGTGTTCCTTTAAGCACCAAGAGATTATCTATCATGCAGTGTGAACCTCTAATAGACAAAATGTTACATAGAATCCAAAGTTGGACAACAAAGTATTTGTCCTATGCTGGGAGGGCAGTCTTGGTGAAGAGTGTCCTATTTGCTATTCAGACACTTTGGGCACAAGTGTTCATACTGCCCAAGAAAGTGATCCAATTTGTAGAGACCATATGTAGAAGATTTCTATGGACTGGGAATGTTGAACCTACCAGGAAAGCTCTGATAGCTTGGAACAGATTATGCCTACCAAAAACAGCAGGGGGTTTGAACTTCATGGACATAGGACTATGGAATGAAGCAGCGATATGTAAGTTGTTATGGAACATCTGCACAAGGAAAGAGAAGTTATGGGTGCATTGGGTACATACATACTATGTAAAAGGACAGGCTGTGTGGGAGGTAAATGCAAAAAATGCTTCATGGGCTATGCAGCAAGTCTTTCAAGCAAGGAAGTACTTTGATAATGCTGGATTAGAAGAAGAAGAGGTCAGACAAATGCAGAACTTCTCAATTAAGAGGATATACAGAATAATGCAGGGAGAATGTCCAAAGGTGATGTGGAGAAGATTGGTGTGCAATAATCAAGGGCAACCAAAGTGGACATTTATATTGAGGCTAGTCATCCAACAAAGACTAGCGACCAAAGATAGATTGATTAAATGGGGCATTAATGTTGAACCTAGCTGCCCCCTGTGTAACAAGGAGAATGAAACAGTGAATCATTTGTTCTTTGAATGTGAGGAAACAGGTAGAATATGGGATGGACTACTGCAGTGGCAAGGAATTCAAATACTATCGAAAAACTGGCAGAATGTGATTGCGTGGATGGTGCAGAAGGCTAAGGGAAGAAGTGCAAGGGCTGAGATATGTCGAATGGTACTTGCAGCAGCAGTTTACTATTGCTGGCAAGAAAGGAACTGGGTAGTGTTTCAGAAGAAAAGAAGAACTGCTAAAACAATACTGAGGCTGATAATTCAGGAAGTGCATGTAAGAGCAACAAGGTCTCCAAAGTTGGCTAGAGTGATGAATACATTAGATTGTACCCAGAAATATAGTGTGTTTAAAAATGTTAGTAGAGATAGATGAAATATAGAAGGAATGTGCTAGGTACTCATATTCTGGGGCACAATGTCCAGATATGGTGTA